AACCCCAATGAGTATTTACAATATGAAACTATTTACAAGAATTCGTCCTAACAATTACCATGAACGTATTTATAGAAAATGCACAGGGAAGCTACATTACGGCGATGATAAAGTGACTGAAGCTGAGATGCCAGGGCAGGACCGACAATATTGCTGATTCTTCATTGGTTTTGAGCTACAATATCTAGATATTAGCACCGGACCGTATGTGGCAGCAATATTCAAGTCATGGATGAATGGTAAACTTATAAATATTTAAAATAGATTCACGAGAGAAAAATTGTTTAGTTCGACACAGTGAAGTAACTTTCTTGGCAGCTGACGTAGCAATGGATTCAATATAATCTTCCCACTTCCTGACAACCTGAGAATGTAAGCCGGAGAAGGCGCAACAAGTCAGTCTCATTGTGATTAACATCAGTTATACTGTCTTTCTTTCAGGGGTTTCCCGTAATCCCACAGTAATCTGCATAGGGGGTCTAAACTAGGAGGTCTACAACATGATCTGTTTGGACACCTCGACGTGCTGTAATGGTTAGAAAGCTTGTCTTGCTAGATTAGTTACGACTGAGTAGTGAGTTCGATCCTCACTGTGTGCCCCACACTTTCGGCCTTGTGCGACATCTAAGCCACGCTTAGAAAATCACTACTACATGAGCTGTTGATCGCATTTGCCGTGAGACTACCACTCGCCATCAGTCAGTCAGTTATGTGCCATGCGTGATACACGCTTAGGCCATCTTTCGATACATGACTGACGAGGCAGATTTTTTTCACGCAGTAGTATGCCATTTCTTTTCCCGGTCTGTTCTGCTATTTACCCATATGGAGAAGAAGAGGATTCATATCTTTCCTAAGGGTATTAGCACGTAAGTGAATGTAATGGATTTGGCTGGAATTCGAACTCGGCTCTCAGATTCCTCAATCCGAGCCGCTATCCATTCTATATCCATATTATTTACTATGAACTTGGGAAATTGATGGCCTCACCCTCCTTTTGAAAATGGATACTGTAAACTCCGGTATGTATTCGCAAATATATCATTCAATGAGCATCCATTTGCGGCCTGAAATAGTTGGATTCGTGACGCAAATCTATGCTTGAACGCAAGAATAGGGAATAAATCGGATATTAATTTTAAGATTGGGTAGGATTTTCTGTTTTTAGAATATTGGCGCAACACAATCTTTCTAGTTCTCTTACTTATTAACCTTAACTCAGCAAATATTAAATAAGCTCCATTGTCGATATTCGCAGAAACGTAATTTGCATATACATTTGTATTTCCAGCCGAAGCTTTCTTTTTTATACTAATGTTCACGCAATACAAGACCCAAGAGCCACTCAATGTAGATGATTGCTAGATGAGGGGAGTGATATGAGTTGCAGTTCTTGGAAAAGAAGCTGCCCGAGTGGAAAATATTTATTACCAATGGAATGAGGGTGAATCAACACTATGCACATAGCAAGGCGGCTCTTGGTTTAATTGTTGGCACTAAAGAATGTCGCTGGTCTGATCATTAGCCAGGGAAGTAGCGATGGAGTAGCGATAAGCAGATGATGTTTAGCCGATGGGAAGCGGGTATTTTCGCATTAATTCTATTGTCAAAGGCACGACCGCACTTTACCCCTTGATCTGTTACATCGCCATTTTTAAAATGCTGATATTGCTGCTTTCCTGAGACAATGTTATTTCGATCTTCTAAAGAGAGAGAGAGAGGGAGAGAGTCTGGAAGAGAGCGGGGGGAGAGAGAAAGAGGGAGAGAGAGAAAGAGGGAGAGAGAGGAAGAGTGAGAGAAAGAGAGGGGGAGTGGGGAGGAGAGCGAGAAATAAGAAAGAGGGAGAGAGAGTGTGAGAAAAATAGGGAGAGGGAGAGAGAGACTTGTTAGAGTTTAATAAATACAATTATACACTTATAACTATTAGATCATTTACGATTAACTTTACGATATCTACCTTCCCGGACGTTTACTTACATGAGATAGGCGTGTTATCAGGCCGTTGGTGATCATGGCTCTCCACAATTTCCTGTCCGTTTGAGTTCTTAATAAATGTTCTCATTTTGTTATCTCTCCTAAACCTTGTTCGGCAATCCAAGTTCGGTAGGTAGGTTATATGTTGTTTTCCTATGTTCTTCTTGCCTTCAATTTCTCCTGTGAGTGTCAAATTTTTCAAACCCTCTCTCCGCATTATATGTATTAGAAATTTCAACTCTCTCTTTCTGGGGTTAAGTATCCTTTTTGTTTCCATTCTCTCTAAAACGTTGCCATATGACATTCTTAGCATCCTTCTGTAGAACAGCATTTCTGTTGCTTCAAGCCTCTTCTTCATCTCCGAGGAGATTGTCCAGCATTCGCTGACATATTGGAGGACTGATATCACGTAACAGTTCAGTACACTTTTCTTTGTTTTAGGCGAAATTTTTCTGTTTCATAATACTTTGGTTAGATTTTGGAAGGCATTTTTGAAAGTGTCCTTTTTGTATCCGTTTTTTCTAAAACCTCATCGTTGCTCCCATGTTCGGTCCATGTGTTTATATAGAAGGACACCGACATCCTTCTATATAAACACATTCCTGTTGTTTTAAGTCTTTTCATCTTTGAGGAGATTGTCCAGCATTCACTGCCATTTAGAAGGATTGATATTACGTAACAGTTCAGTTCTCTTTTCTTTGTTTCTGTTGCTTCAAGTCTCCTCTTCATCTGTGAGGAGATTGTCCAGCATTCACTGCCATTTAGGAAGACTGATATTACGTAACAGTTCAGTGTACTTTTCTTTATTTCTGTTGCTTTATGTCTCTTCTTCATCTGTGACGAGATCGTCCAGCATTCACTGCCATATAGGAAGACTGATATTACGTAACAGTTCAGTGCACTTTTCTTTGTAACGAAATATTTCTTTCGCTATCCCAATATACCTTCGGACTTCTCAGATATTTAAATTGTTGTATTTCTTTGATTTTGTATCTCAAATTCAAATTCAGAAAGGAACCAATCGTTTAAGATATTTACAAATTCGGGCGGTGGAAGGGAGCAGCACTGTGAAATGGCAGGATTCAACAATAATAATTGCAAAGGCTTACAGCTGAAAATCTAATCATTGTCACGACGTAGCCAAACAAGCTGCCATTTTTGACACTGGCTAAACTAGTTTTAACAAAAGAGATCTAAGAGGAATTGATTTTGACAAGTAAACTTTGCTACTGTAGCAGTTACGAGTGATCAAAGAGACAATACGTCATTATGTCATAAATAGTCGAGAATAAGAGGAGGAAGACAGACAAAACGCTCACGTTAAACCAAAACTTCACTTTCAGAGATCCTGGAAAATCAGAGTAATGGATTTCCGTCTAACCTGAGCGTGAAGGCTAACTAATCATGTCGTTCTAAGATTCGTATCTATTTCACCCATTAACTTTATTCTTTTCGGCGTTACAGGTTATATATATATTCTGTTACGCCCGGGGTTTAGTTGGGACTACGATAACCGGGACGCAACGAGAAAATAAAAAAAAAATAAGTAAGAGATACCAAGGTTCGATATAAAAATAAAGAAAAGAACGTTGGGAGGGGAATTCTCCAATTCCGGACGTCGTTAAACGCAGAGAGAAAATGAACAATTCGCAGACACAGAACAACAGAAGACGACACGAGAATATACAATACAAATATTTTATTTCTAGAATACACGGAGTGTGAATATAAGAAAAAGAAAAAGAAAACTAAATAATACAAGGGATGGGGAGATAAGTTACCAATTATTAAACAGATACTAATGCGGCGAAATTCATATGAATACAGAAATAGCAGATTATAAGATATGGCAAAACATGCAGAAATTTACATAAGGTTGGAATCGACGTCGATTGACAATTATCGGGGTACAATTTGTTCACAGGATATTTATACACTTCTTTGAAAGTAACGGATGGGATTGACAATGTTGATCTACAATCTCGCGTTGGTCCTTTGGTTTTGGGTGGCATCTAATTCTTCTAATGGCGAATAGCTAAGACGGGTTTTTGGTGACGTCCGACTCCTCTGATAGCCAGCAACTGTGTGTAGTCGTTGTTACCTCAACACGTGCGAAACGAAAACTGCTATATTTTGAGTCACGTGTTGGCCCCCAAAAAAAGGTATGCGTCATTCACGGACACTGTTAATATCATCCACAGTTATCTGTCAAACAGCGTTTGTTTTGACCAGCGACTATGGAACTGGTTAACATCATTCACACCTATCTGTCAAACAGCGGACCAGGTAAGAGATGGGGGTAGAAGGGAAGGTTCTTTTCCGAGAACTGGCCCTGACTCATCTGGTTATAAAAACAATATATATCTCACAATCTGCATATTTAAGAAATAAAAAAAATTAAGATTCATATGTTTCGTCGCAAATACAAAAGGTACTGAGGGTACAAATATGGGGTTAACGTAACAATATATAATCAGCGAGTTTGTCTACTCTATCACTTACCTTTTTAAAAGCGAGAGAAGGAAGAAAAAATACTCAACATTATATATATATATATATATATATATATATATGAGAATACAGATGATTTTGACTAGATTGAAAAAATATTCTTTCAAAGAAAATTCTTTCAAAAATTTTAAAACTACGAGCGTCCCTCGTCACGTGCGCATGTGTAGAAATACTTATTGATAAAACGCGTCACAGAACCTTTTTCCCAATTATATAACTTTTATTATTCAAGCATGCTTTGTTGAAAATGGTTTTCCATCTTTATCCTGTTGAAACGTCATTTGAAGCAAAATACACACACAAAAAAAAAATTGTAAACAACATACGCTCCCTTGGAAACGCCACTTTACATAAAAAAATGATTTATTACTTCATGATTTATTTGTCATTGGCACCTTATATTTTTCCTATGAATTTCGCAAGACATGTTAAAGAAATCTTTGTCCTGTTAATGGTCATATTTACTTGACTAAAAGCTTTTCTATCAGTAAGCTAACCAAGCAAGGGTTTAATCTATGAAACATATTTTCACAATGTTCCTTCCTTTCTTCCTTCCTTCCTTTCTTCTATCTATCTATCTATCTATCTATCTATCTATCTATCTATCTATCTCAGTCTGTTCATTACTAGTTGGCTATTTTTATTGAGTAGGCAATTCCACACTCACTTGGTGTCCCATATAAACTTCGACATGAAATTGATATGCATTAAAATTAGCCGACCAAAGTCTGTTCATATCTATCTATCTATCTATCTATCTATCTATCTATCTATCTATCTATCTAAGTATGTTCATAATCTCTTCCTCTTTCTCAGTCTATTTTGTTTGATGAAATCTCTAAAATAAGAATGGGGAATTGCCACCCTATCTCGGCTGGAGCTGTTCATTCCACATTTTCCAGTCGTGATAGAGTTCAACATTTTTTACGCGGTCTTATATTCACACTCACGATCAAGTCCCATAGATTCTTTGAGGAGTAAAAGGTTATAGCTCTCAACACTCGAGATTTTGCTGCTGTAGCAACCACAGTAAACATTAGTCTTTTCTGGGCTGTTCCTACATCCATATCTAATCGGTTTTGAATTCAGTCGTCTTTTTCCTAGACTGGTTACCAAAAACGGCTAATAAACACAGTTTGCCTTACTAGTTAACCCATTATTGAGGAGAAAAAAGACATGGATTCATATATTTCTGACGCGATTTGAACATACAACTCCACCACCGTTTTAATCTCTTCCTCTTTCTGCTCCCGCCATTAAATTCTTTCACTTTTCTGCTCCCGCCATTAAATTCTATCACATTTCTGCTTTCAACATTAAATTTTCTCCTCTTTCTGATACCAACATTAAACCCTTTCATTTTTCTGCTGTCACAATTAATTTCTCTCATCTTTCTACTGCAACTATTAAATTATCTCACTTTTCTGCTCCCGCCATTAAATTCTTTCATTTTTCTGCTCCCGCCATTAAATTCTTTCACTTTTCTACTCTCGCCATTAAATTGTATCCCTTTTTGCTATCACCATTAAATTATCTCCCCTTTCTGCTCCCAACTTTAAATTCTTTCACCTTTCTACTTCCACCATTAAATTTTCCCTGTTAAATTCTCACTCACCACAGAATTACTTACAAACTTTCTCCCTTCATCTTCTTTTTTCCGTTCTTTTCCTAAACCCTCTCTTTCCTTGCATTCGTTTATTATCTTTCCTCTTTTTTGCAACGTTAAAATAATCTGTTTATTTATATTTTCTTTCTTTCTTTCTTTCTTTCTTTCTTTCTTTCTTTCTTTCTTTGCCTCGTTATATTTTTGTCTCTCTTTGGATTTCTTTTCCCATCTGACGCTTCCCATCTTTCACGACGCTGATACGATTGTCTACGTAAATGCATTTGTCGCTTATTCAGAACCCTGTAATGGAATTACATATCAAATGCGAACCGCCCAAATTAGCGAATGCAATAATGCAAGCTCCCAACAACAAGCGCGAAGATAATAGCAAAACACTCTTAATGCCGAATAACAATTTGACGAGTAAAGAAACGAAATTACTTGGAGTCGTCACTCCGCAATCATCGTCATGAAAATCTGATGTAATTTGAATATTGAACGCAGATTTTTATGTGACACAAGCTATTTGCCTTTCATTATTTACTCTTGTTTATCCTAGATAAATCAAAGCTGAGAGGCGAAGCTGATTTGACTTCATCGGCGAAGAGTTTATCTTGAGAGTAACTGAGAAAATAATCAGTTATATTTTGCTTAAGGGCCAGACAATCTTTCCTTTGCGCTTTTCATTTCTGTTAACGTTTCGTTGTAACAATTTAATAGCTGAAGAATCTGATATCATCCCATAAGCAATGTCCGAAATGTGGCAGAGACAGATAGAATATTATTTTCTCTATTCGAAATGGCAAAAATACATGATACCAGGTCATTTTAAAAACAATGCCAGAAATCTGATTGAATTCTGTTATTGTAAAATACACGCGTATAGGGAATGTCCGAAATCTGACAGCAATAGAAAGAATGTTATTTCTTTCTGTTTTAAAATACATAAATGATAAAAATGCACAATATTCTGCTATGTCTGTGATAGGATTGATCAATATTTAATATCGCTTACATAATGCAGGGAATCTGATGGCGATAGATTGAATGAAGTTGGTATTCTAAAATGCCTAACTCAGAGTAATACATGCTATGAGTTTATCTTATAAGTAATGCCTGAAATCTGATAGCGATAATTAAAATAATATTGTACCTCTTCTAATATGCTTAAATGATAACATGCTCTTATATAACACTAGTCAACACGATTTTTGGTAACAAGAAACAAAACACGTTTTTTAGCTAATTTGATGTTTCTGATTCCGAAAATGGTCTTAGTTTTTCACAGTTAGCTACCACTTTTGATGTACTGAAATTGCTCATTTTTGGAAAAAAAAAGATCGTTTTATGATCTTGGCTGATAGCAATATTTAGTTAATAAACGTCGTAGAAACCCATCACTTTTCAGGTAGGCCTCGCAATTTATGCTAGACACCCGAAATAAACTATTTTTTATAAGAAAAACGAGTTTTTGAGTCAAAAATGTAAAAATAGAAGTACCGACTTTTTCTATTTTATCTCCGAAATTCAAATTAACTGATAAACTTTATCAGTAATACAATTTAGTAAACCTGATAATTAAGGTGATATAAAAAAAAATGAAACCATAAAATCTTCTGTTGGATATTCATAAATTTATCCCATCTCTTTTATCCCTTCACTCCGGAAGAAAACCAAGCACACTAAGAGCATTTTGTTTACGCAGTTGGAAAGAAACTCCAACTAAAGTGATCCCAATTGTAGGCACCTATTCCATTGTACATGACAGTGCTGGAATATCAAAAGGGACTTAAATAACATTGAACATGACAGACAATCAAGAGAAAATTTTTACTATAGTTTTTATGTCCACGAAGGTTTTATTTCTGCTATTAGTTTATTAAATGATTTGATGAAAATACATGATGGTCTTGGTATATTCAGTCGTGTTATTTTTAAAGACTGAGGATCTGATTGTTATTGCCAAAATAGTATTTCTCAATAAGCAGACCAATATTTGTTGGTTTAAATACGAATTGAGAGGTTTTTACGATTTTATTTTGAGAAATATTGCCATCAGTCAATGTCATATATACAGAAAACAAATGAAAAAAAAAAGCTTTTTTTTTCCAAAAATGAAACATTTCTGTATAGCAAAAACGGTAGCTAACCAAGAAAAAGTGAGTCCATTTTCAAATTCAGCGCCTTCAAATTAGCTAAGAAAGATGTTTGGTGTCTCGATACCATTTCAATTTTTTTCTGTTGAGCATCGGTGTACCAAATCGACAACAATAGATCGAATGATACCTTTGCTTTTCTAAAAAGATGTTACTATTACTACTAATGTAACAACCATAGGAGAATAAATCGGCTTAAAATGCAGAAATCAACAAGAGAATCAACAACAAGCCTAAAGCACGACTTACTAAGTTACTAAAGTTCACATAAAAATGTAAGGCTTTTACTACGTCTCCAGAAGAGTACATTATATATATATATATATATATATATATATATATATATATATATATATATACAGAGAGAGAGAGAGAGAGTATATTATACAGGGATTAACTTTTCTTGTGACGCATTAGAAATGCCATGTTTTTATAAAAGAAATATCCTTTTAAAGGATTTAGTGGATTGCAGTTGTTCAATGGTTAAAAGATTACCCTTTGGTGTAACAGTAGCCCCAGGTATTTTCCAGCAAATAATGGATACGGTGTTGGCTGGAATAGAAGGTACTTTTGCTTACATAGATGATATACTTATTGTCATGGGTCCTTACCTATAACTACAGAATGAACTCTTCCTAACACTATGTATACTACACCTGTCAAGAGAGAGAGGGACGAATCAAGCCGAGCTTCTCGGCTTGACGGTCGAACTCTCTGCCACTGAGCAGAGAGGAGCCCGGACGAGGCTCCGCCGAAGGGCAGAGTCTTGTTCGGGGAGGTTGACCAACCTGATCCCGTTTATACGGGTTCTACGGGCATTTTTTTGTCCGAGCCTACGGGCTCGGGAAACCCACGTTAAACTCGGCCTTGTGCCACATGCAACCCTCGTGGGAGGGTGGCTAGATACCGAATCAAGCCGAGCTGCTCGACTTGACGGTCGAACTTTCTGCCTCTGAGCAGAAAGGAACCCGGACGAGGCTCCGCCGAAGGGCAGAATCTCGTTCGTGGAGAAATGACCAACACGATCTCGTTTATACGGGTTATACGGGCATTTTTTGGCCGAGCCTACGGGCTCGGGAAACCCACGATAAACTCGGCCTTGTGCCACATGCAACCTTCGTGGGTGGGGGTGGCTAGATACCGAATCAAGCCGAGAAGCTCGGCTTGACGGACGAACTCTCTGCCTCTGAGCAGAGAAGAACCCGGACGAGGCTCCGCCGAAGGGCAGAGTCTCGTTCGGGGAGGTTGACCAACCCGATCCCGTTTATACGGGTTCTACGGGCATTTTTTGGCCGAGCCTACGGGCTCGGGAAACCCACGTTAAACTCGGCCTTGTGCCACATGCAACCCTCGTGGGTGGGGGTGGCTAGATACCGAATCGAGTCGAGCCGATAGTAGTTCACTCCAAACCAGACTGACAGTCATACTAACACCTTCCACATCTTGTATTATTATTTCGTGTAATATACCTTCGTTATTTCTACTTTTGTGTTCGTGGTGTTCTTCCTTGGTCCTAACCTGGACCATAACACTTATTAAGAGTGCTGCGAAAGTACGACACATAAAACTGATTCAGGAAGTCTGTCATAGACTACATGATTACGGGTTCAAAATTACTGAACAGAAATGTCAATTCTCTCTGGACAAGATTAAATATTTAGGTCAGATAATCGATGAAAAACGAATAAGACCAGATCCTGCTCGAGCAAGTGCCATTAAAGACATGCCTTCCCTGATAAATTTGGTAACACTGTAATCATTTCTCGGATTAGCAAATTATTGTAATATTAACATGCCAGATATGTACAAATTGCGAGCATCTCCGAATAATTTACATAAAAAGGATACGAAATGGAATTGGTCAACGGAATGTCAAAAAACTTTTGAATGAATTAAAAAAGTAGTAAATTTATAGTTATCGCTGACAAATTACGAGCTGCCCCGATAAATAATAGTAGTGACGGACGCGAGGGAATACGACACGGGAGCAGTAATTGACCATAAATTCGAAGACGGTACAGTGAAATCAGTCTCTCACATTTCAAGAAGTTTGACAAATACGGAAAATTCAACAGTCAAATTGAAAAGAAAGGACTGGCTATACTTTTTGCTGTAAAGAAATTTCACAGGATGATATTAGGAAGAAAATTCATACTGCAAACTAATCATCGTCCATTATTAAGTATATTTGGGTCTAAGAAAGGGATTCCAACCCATAGTGCAAACGAACTAGAACTTGGGCTACGACTTTGATGTACTATGATTTCAAACAAATTGGGGCACGTAGAGGTTTGTCCAGATTCATATCAAAATTTAAAGAAGATTTTGAAGATACTGTGAGTGTTTCGCTGGAACCAAAAGCGAAATTAAAATCCTAGAGTAAAACCCTATATAAGAATTGTCGGTCACAATAGACAATATTAAAATTCATTCTAAAAAGGATACATTTATTCAAAAAACTATGAGTGAAATGGTGTGAAACCAAAATTAAACCTGTTTACAAAAATAGAGAATTTTCTATTTGTGATGGAGTACTTTCGTACTCGGAAAAAGTAGTAATTCCTTTATTAACCCCCAAACAAGATTTTAAAACAATTCCACGTAGAACATCCGGGAATAGTGAGAATGAAGTCCTTGGTGAAAAGCTACGTGTATTAGTCAAAGTCGGACAAAAATCAAAATTCAGTTAGAAAATGTAATGTTTGTAATTCAGCAACAAAATTACCATATATAAATTATACTTTTCTAATTCAACGCTCTGTGTGATTTTATCAATGAGAGAGTTTCACATGACCGATACCAAAATATCCATCAGTTGAAGGACGCCGTTCGGAGAGCCTTTGCAACAATCAACAAAGCACAGCTTCATAAAATATCATACAGGACGTGACGCCGCATCATTTTGTACCGCGACCTTCTCGATGTGTGACAGCATCAATGAAAGTGAATAAACTGAATCCACTATATGTGCTTTTTGTATTGCTGTATTACTTATTCTTCTATTGTTCTCATTACTTTTTGGTAGGGAGTGACAAAACTTCCAGGTTTTGATAGAGTTGTTTTTTTTTCGTTGTCATGATTAGGAGTAGTGACTAGTTGTTAAGAAAGTTTATTTGTTTTTTTGTTCAGGAGTAGTGGCTGAGTGTTGAGAGGGTAGTTTTCTTTTGCTTTCTGGATCAGGAGTAGTGGCTGAGTGTTGAGAGGGTAGTTTTCTTTTGATTTCTGGATCAGGAATAGTGGCTGAGTGTTGAGAGGGTAGTTTTCTTTTGATTTCTGTTGAATAGGGTAGTTTTTTCTTTTTTGATTTCTGGATCAGGAATAGTGGCTGAGTGTTGAGAGGGTAGTTTTCTTTTGATTTCTGGATCAGGAATAGTGGCTGGGTGTTGAGTTGTTGTTTTTAAGTTTGATGAATTAGACAGTCAAGACGATTTTGAAGACACACTCTTATACTTTTGAAGAGTCTTCATCGGAGAGGATCTCAACGGACTGTGTTACTCGATCAGAAGCTAATTCTAAGTGATTCCACCGGCAAGGTCACATGCTGCTTTTTATCAAAACCTGTCACCTCACCACCCACATTTGGCTGTGATCGATGGTCTTGGTATAACCATATCAAACTTTAGGTCTGAATTTTGGGACTTATCATTATTTACATTCTGACTACTGTTGTCATATTCGTTGTTATCACAACGTTTCGGAAGTTGTATCTCCCAGTCTTCTTCAGGTGTTTGTTGATCCGGGTACTTTCAAACTGAACCCATTATTTCATGTACTAAATTTTTCTCGTTCCGATGTCCATGCAACTTTATATCGTCTTATTCTTATTGAGTTCTGGTCAGTTATTGCTTGACCAGAGTCTAAAGTGTGCACTACTCGGACCAAAGATCGAATTCAGTCTTACTATGTCACTGAATTCAAAAAGAAAAGATTTAATCCACAAACTTATTGTCATTGGTTATCAGGATAAGTATATTAGGCTTCGGGTGTGTGGGTGGTGTTCTGGGTAGCGGATCGGAACAAGAAATCAGAGAGCCGTGTTCGAATTCCAGTTGTGATTCATTATGTTCACTTCCGCACAAATAGAAAGCCATTACTCCTCTCCCAGCTATGGGTTAAATAGTAGGGCAAACTGGGCTTTTCAGCCTTGGTAAGCAGCCAGTATAGGAAAAGAAAAACCATTAATTCAAAAATCGTATTTAGCACTGCTGAAGCACGTAGTATGCAGTTAATGAACGGATGTCAGAGTTTGAACTGGCTCTATAATCCTAAGTATTTAATCGATCAATATTTGTATTTTATCTTAGCTTGCCGCTTTCTTTCTTTCTTTCTTTCTCTCTCTCTCTCTCTCTCTATCTATCTATCTATCTCTCAGTAAGAATAATTCTTCTTTCTTGCCATTCTTAATCTTCACTTCGTGTTGCACCCCGTCATTCATTGTCGTTTCGTTTCTAACTCTTTGCCTTCACTACCTCCCGAGCCTTTTCATTGGTTGAAATTTAGTATTAAAAAAATCCTTGCCCAAGAAAAGATATCAGAGGAAAAAGTGTCACCATCATATATAACTTCATATCATATTTAATAATCTTATTAGAGAAACTCTTTCATCCGATGAAAAAGAACCTTTTGCAAACCTGTTCTGTTTGTTACCGACTCTCGTAATCACTCAATCTTATGATAATCAAATAAGATTTTTCAAGATACATATTAATTGGAATATAATTGAACTTGTGTGTATGGACTTGACGTTTTTGTCTGGTGATTTGACTATCAGATTACTTTGCAGAGATATTAAAGGTGTCAGTTATTGCATTCGAAACGTGTGTATTTTAATCACGACGCATAACAACGACCCGTAGAATTTAATTAGTTTTAATAAAACGAAACGAAAGTGTAATTTGTCGCGAATTACTGGGACCGACAGTCGCTCGAATGTCATTGCTTTCTTCGTCGAATGTTATTGATGGAGAAGACGTACAGTTGTTTTATTCATGTCGAGACAGTTTTGACTTCTGTCCGACTTTTAAACAAATATCGAACAAAAGCTTTACCTGCTCGTCTTTTTACTGTTGTATTGATATTTTTCAATAGGAAACATTGTCGATTTAGCGATTTAGATAATCTCTAAATTGAATCGTTCATTTTTGAAAAAAGAAATTATGCTACAAATCATGGAATGGCGATAAATGTGTATAAAGTGACAAGGCTTGTAAGAAAATGAAGACGTTTACTGAATAACATCTCCCTTGCACTTTATTCTCATCAGCATTGCAATGTATCAAATGTATTTTCGCTGTCTAGATAAACACAAAACGCATAAATGCATAAATATTTTATCAAATTAAGACAAAATAATCATATTAGAATTCTGCTTGTACCTCCCTTGGTCCCATAGTCAGCACCTACGTACGTCACGCTCTGTCGATGCCTCATAAATAATGAACTATTCCGTTTTAATCTCGTGGAAATATGTAAAAGACATATCAGAGACGCTACTTGGTTTCTGAGAGAAATGAAAGAAAGAAAGGAAGAAAGAAATGTTTAACGTCTCCTGCCAATACCTGATAAATAATGAACTATTCCGTTTTAATCTCGTGGAAATACATAAAAGACATATCAGAGATGCTACTTAGTTTCCGTGAGAAATGACTGAAAGAAAGAAAGCCTTTTTTTCCCACGATTTTATTGCTTCGTAGCTAAAAATCCTTCCTGATTTTTTTTTTGTATTATCCTTTATTAACATTGCATATTTGCCAATTCCGAACTCTCTTTTAATATCAGGCCAAAGAAATACCAGAGTCCCTTCCGGCCAACGTTTCTAATTCGGTTATGTTTTTGTATATAATTTCATATCTTTCCTACACAAATCATCAAATATATCTACTGAATTAATGCTGCTTTATAGATAGAAGTCGTATGGAAATGAAACCCAAAGGACACGTATACTTGCAAGTATAAGGTGACATATATTGAGGAAAGGTGGCATAGAGAATTTAACACGCACAGGACATTTTGAAGGTCAGTGGGACAGAGAGAAACAGTTCAGTAAATAGTTTATATAAATGGACCGGATATATGGCAATGAATGCTGGAAATTTCACAGATGGAGGAGACTTGAGACAACAGAAATGTGGTTCTACAGAAGGATGCTGAGGTGTTAACAATCTCATTCCACTGCCTTTTCTCAACTTTTGTCAGTATCTTCTCATTTACTCCCACATCTCTGACAATACTTTCTTACATTTTTTCATGTAAATATTATAGAAATATAATTTGCATTCAGATTTTATAAATTCGCGTAAGGTTAAATTTTGTCAGTGCGAACTCTCTTTATATCAGTTGAATAAAACAGTCGAATATCATTAACAGGTAATGAATGATTATCAGCCATTTAAATATGAACTAACAAATTTCATTTACAATATAGGTTATGGCATTTCATGAATTTAATTTATAAAAGCATATTTACTTAAATGTTTCATGGGTATTATTTATTTTTAATACAAATTGCCATATTAAACAATATTTCGTTCGTCCCCATGTTAAACTATTACAGTTTTCTTGTTTTTCTTCTTTGTCGATTACTTTATTGTCTTCGGGACATGCAATATCTCTGATGATGCATGTTCTTTTTTTTTACTGTATCTATCACCACAATGTCTGGTTTTCTATGCAATACTCCATGGTCACATTAGATCATGACATCCTACAAAATATTATTATTATTATTATTATTATTATTATTATTAATTGACGCCTTTTCAATGCTCTGTAATTCCTAATGTAATTTTACATGAGTCCAAGTGCACCGATTATTGTAGGCACTACTGTAACTTTTCCTTTGCGCATATGTAATAATAACTGTATGAAATATGCGCAAAGGAAAAATTACCTTAATTCCGGATTTATTATTATTATTATTATTATTATTATTATTATTTTAACTCCTTTTATTTCTGGTGTGTACTCATTTTTTTCGGGTCCCGCCCAGAGACCTAAGGTCAGAAATGACATCATGGCATTTTCCACTGAGCAGTTTTGAAAAAAAATCACACATATTTTACATAGATAAAGCCCTTCGTAAGGTGAGGACTGTATTCGTGAGAACAATTTTCTGTATTTCTTTAAGGCATGGGCTACCAAGAATTCCTTCAATGAGTCTATTGGAATCTTTCCCAGTCAATCCAAGGGTTCCGACTACAACTGGAATTGTTGATGTCCTCATGTGCCACATTTTGGAATTTTTACTTTCAAGTCCTTGTATTTTGATAGGGAGTGCCATATCAATAAGAAGGCGCATTTTCTCTTTGCGGTCTCTAATCACAATGTCTGGGCGAATAGCTTTGATTTTTCTGTTTGTATTGTAAACTCCCATAAAATTGTTACAGGTCTGATATAATGGAATATGCATACACCTGTGTTCCCCCTCACTGGAATGTGATTGGCTGGTGTCCGTGATAAATACCGACGGACGTGTAGATGAGTCAAGAGCCTTAGTCTGAGAGCTAAGTCTATAACGACGCCCGTTGGACTACGCCATTGATCTACACTTCTTACCTGCGACTACGACGCATACCAATTGATTACTGCTACCGTATTCTACTTGGTTATAGTAGCCAAAACCACTTAGTTACTTCGTTCAAATATATCCCTTTACGGCAAGGTTCTATCTACGTCACCGGGTCTGGGTGGTATTCATACCAACTTTATGCAGTTTCCCTTTCCGTAAAAGTTACAGATTTTCCAGTGTAGATATTGGCTCATTCTGTCATGCCGAGTTTTATATTCAGTGGGTGCCAATACTACGAAACCTGATAAAAATTATTATTATTATTACTATTATTATTTCACACCAGAGGTATCTGGCAATTTTAGATAGGTACCGGATGACACAATTATATTATTATTATTATTGTCCTTATAAATATGTGTATATTCTTTTTTTTCTCGAAATATTATATTAAATAGGACAGTCGCTTTACAAAGTGTGTTCCTGTCTTTTATTATGCATAGTCTAATAGAAATACAAAACGTCTAGCTCAATCATCACCCTCTAGCAATTCCGCTGTCAAACAGACGATTAGATTTCCTCTTCTGAGTACGGTCTTCACGGCTAGACAAGCGCCATCGTTTTGGCAGCAATAATATTTACACAGCATAACTATCGGGAATTTCCGTCTAACACTCATTGCCTAGATAATATAAAAATATAAAGATGATACATAGGCTCACTTATCGTCCGGCCTGCACTCTTTCCATGTCCATTGAACAAGACTAGAGGTTCATCCGTAGTTCCCTAATCAGGATATGTTTTACCTGTTCTCTCTTTCTTCTACCAGGGTCACAATGATTTATGTTTTGGGTGATCGGACTAACCATAATGAGGGTACCAAATTGGAACTTTACCAGTTACTATTTCCGACTGCACGAACTCTTTGGTAGCAGTTAGTGAGGCTGCTCTGATCAACAGTCGCATAATGCCGGTGTATCTAGTGCCATGTTACGCATGGGTAGCTGTCCATGCATGTATTTCCGGTGGACAACCCTGAGGCAACATTATGGTCTGTTCTCTGCAACGCACTGGCTGGTTTGTATTGACATTGACAACGGATAGTGAAAATTATCGTGAACCTTTTTTACTCAAAACAAATCTCATGGAAATCACAGCAAAAAGAAATATAAGCAAACCAGCAAAAGCACCCCTACCAAAAAAAACAAAACAAACCCCGCCTACCCCCTGAACCCTTGTTTTTTCCAATATTCGTGGTATCCGTTCCAAATTCTGCAGTGTGGAATCTTTTCTCCTGAAACTGTCGCCATTTATATTTGTCCTTTGTGAAACCAAATTGAATTCTTTCATTTCTACCAATGAATTCTTCATTGTAGGGTATCTTCTCCTTTGCCAAAAAGATTCCTGCATTCACATGCTTGTCCTTGGTGTTTAAATCCGGGATAATCTTCCGATGGCCAGGGAATATTATCTCGAAGACGCTGACTACTTTTTCATATGCTCCCGTCTTTCGTTCCTAATCTTTGTTAGGTACCTCGTTTTCCTTTATCACCCCCCCCTCTTCCCAGGACTGCAGTATATTAGATATAATAGCTGATAGTATAGAAAAGGCACTTTCTCTCCATCCATCTGCGAACAGATGACTTTAATGCTCACCATGACACGTGGCTGAAACATTCTAAAATTACTGATGATGATGCCGGCATTCAGACATTATATTTTTCTCGTAACTGATACCACCTAAGATCGGGAACATTAGGCAGAAAATGTGAATACGAGTATAGATTATTATTATGATTATTTAATCTGTAAAAACAGTCCATTTTAATGGAGTGGAACCAAAGGGCAAAGGAGTGTCACGTGGAAGAATATTTAACACAAATTTTACAATTGAAAAGTTGTATGCCTATAAATCAGCATTCAAAGTCCCAGCTGCTAAATGGGAATTAACAGCGATCTCTGGAAGTAGTGGAGTGTGTGTAATAATAATAATTATTATTATTGTGGGTCTCTCCCCTTTTTACATAAGATGGACTCATCCAAAGTATACTTTTACTGACAGAGAGAATACATGGTGTTGCGATACGTTGCGATATGTTGAGATACGTGGAGAGATACCTTAAGAGATACAGAGACAGACAAAGGGTGTTCTCAGAGAGTTATACAAGAGTCCAGATATATATATATATATATATATATATATATATATACGGCTTTACTTACAGAGACTTGTACATATACTTTCTACTGACCCGCATTACTGGACTACTAATCTTCACTTCAAGTCTGTATTCTTACGTTTAATACACTTATTTTTCCATCTCAATTACTGGCGTTGTTTATTTATTTGTGCAGGATTCCATTCACAGAATCCACAACAATTATTATTATTGTTGTTGTTGTTATTATTATTATTCTGTTGCTCCTGCTACTTCATTCTGTAGTTCCATCAGTTCAGACCTTTACATCTCTGACAGTCATGCCACTTAAACGAAGTCGAAACACCATAATTTCCCCCGCATTCCAAATGTAAGAAGAAATTCCTACTCAGACAGGTTTTTCAGAGGAACAGCTACGTCTTGGGGTATATTCCCTCGTGAGTGTTTCCCTAAACACTGCAATCTTAAAGTCTTCAAAGCAAGGGTCAGTCGTTATCAGTCCTCATTATTCTAATAATATTCATTTCGACTACATACTTTTTCATTTATATCACACACCTCATTCCGCACAACCGTCTTTAACTGTGATCCTTTAATTTGAGCCTGTACTGAATGAACTTTAGTATAAAAATATACAAACATATGTATGGATACAAAGAATGATTAGCTGCTTTTGAGACAATGTGATTAACTGCTGTTGAGATAAGGTATGTGGGCCACGTGACGGCCAGTGATTGACGTCAGAGGATAGAGTGACGAAGACCAGTTGCGATGTAAAGCTCAGAGAAGAAGGACGTCTCTAGCCAACAGCCGTAGAAAACCACATGGCCTCACCAGGTTCATAGATAAACCACATTACCTTCAGTTTTCACTTTGAGAAATATTACAAGTAAGACCTCATTTTCACACTGCTTGTGGTTGTAGACATGTAATATAACTTCTCTGCGTTGGATAAATGTAAATATGTATATATAATTTTGTGCATAACTTAGCGGTATAAAACTCTCTCTGTTTGTCATCCTTTTCTTCCAGCTATTCCGTGTCGTCCGTGAAATAAAGTGTTATTATATCATGAATATAACAATGCCAATAATTGGGAAACACAAATGGGAGAATAACCCTTTCTTCCACACCTCAGCCATTACGCATTTATTCATATATACGCTTATGGAAATCCACATGTTACCCTACAAGGAAAACATTTTGTATTTATTATTTATTTATTGTATTTATTTAGTAGCAGCCAGTAGGGTTTTCGGTTAAAATTTTTTATCGCACTTTCCAGTACTGATGGGGGTTTATTTCCGAAAGATTTATTTGAAGTGTGTGGAATGGTAACATCTTGATTAAGCTATTATTTTCTCTACCAGTTGCATATGCTATCCATTTTAGTTGTTACTGCTGTTGGAATTTCTCAGTAAATGCAGTTACTGTTATTTGTCTCCTTGTTAATCTGTAGCGCCAGTCACTAATGTTCAAAGAAGGATGATCTTTGCCAAAACCCTCAGGCTTTCCTCGATCAAAAGCTTTTGTTTCACCATTGATATGAGGAAGCATTATCTGACTGTACGGGTTTGCAAATCATGCATGGCATCCATATAAAAGTCTCGATATGATGAGACTATTTAAGGACATGACTCAAGTTTTCAGGTTGATATTTTGGTTTCGTATAGATTTGAGGTATTAGGCGAAACTACCTTTCACACAACTTATTTTATGTTCCATTTTTTTCCTTACTATACATAATTTCTTACAGCTGAGCCATACTCCGAGGTATCTGAAATGTTTAGTATTTACTAATTCTACACTCTGTATTTTTATAATGGCTACAGGGTAGGTGCTATCATTGCTTTCATTCCAAGTAGTGTTCCGTCCTGGGTATGACGATAAACTATATCCGCGTCCTGGGTAAGACGATACACTACGTTCAACAGCAAGGCCTCTGATCAGGAGGTTTTGAGGAGCGTGGAACCACCTCAATTGCTGGTATTCCCAGGTCCACCCTGACCTGGGATG